TATCGATATTTTTAATTAAAGATGACAGTGAGAGAGGCTCTTAATACGGCACTTGATGAAGAACTTACTCGCGATGACCGTGTTTTTTTAATTGGAGAAGAAGTCGCACAGTATAATGGCGCATATAAGGTGGAAAAAAAAGTTAAATTATTAGTTTTAATAAATGAGTGTAAGATTTCATATTAATCTTATTTATTATTATTATAGGTATCAAAAGGACTCCTTGATAAATATGGGCCGATGCGTATTGTTGATACACCAATTACAGAGTCAGGTTTCGCAGGCTTGGCCATAGGTGCAGCATTATCAGGATTAAGACCTATATGTGAATTTATGACATTCAATTTTTCGATGCAAGTAAGTAAAATTTTACATATTACATATTTCTTTATAGTTTATAACATGATTATTAAAATATTTTTAAAGGCTATAGATCAAATAGTCAATTCAGCAGCCAAAGTTCATTATATGAATGGTGGTATAGTACCATGTCCCATTGTATTCCGGGGTCCAAATGGTTTTGCAGCAGGTGTTGCTGCTCAACACTCTCACCTTGACGCGTTTTCGGTAGGATCCCTTTTAAATTAAAAAATGGACTTCAGTCTTGCGTCAAGATGACAAAATCCCAAACAAATTTAACCGAAGCTATAACTAACGTTAAGAGGGCTAACTTTTCGGGATTTCAGGGTAATAAAACACTGTACTATACTGCAATAATAAAACTCGAGTAATTTTAAGAGAAATAATACAGTAATAAAGTGAAGAAACTATAACACAACTCTGGTTATATCGACACTGTATATAATTATAAAATGTCTCTTCTCCAATTAAACCGACATTTGGATATATCGGATAACCAGAGTGACGTGTAATCATTTCAAAGATACTAGGCAAATAAGAATTTATTTTTTAAAAGTTCAATGTAGACCATACAGAGTTAATTTTTGGCTCATAACATAAAATTTGAAATATGATTGATTTTAATTTTATTTTCAAAAGAATTATATGCATATATAAAAAACATAATAAAAAACATAAAATTTTTTTTAGACACCCAGATAGTAAATATAGTCAAAATTTTTTCAAAATTTACCGGTCAAGGTTATAAGAACCAATTTATTAAGTTTGTATGGCCTTAAATTAATCATATCTAAAATTTATGTTTGTATCAGGTTCGAAAAGAATTGACCATTACAATCTTTATATAATTTTATTAATTTTACATCAACTATATAGGACTTCATTAGCTTTTGACAAAAAAAACAAATTGTCATATTGCCTTAAATTATCCAAGTTATCTGGTATTCTCTTAAATAATCAATATACGTCAGTATTTCTACAAAATAAATATTGGTTTTACCTATTTTTGTCTATATAAAGCACGTTTAACTACTTTAATTATTACTTCTGCATTTGGCAAACTCAAAGCTTCTAAATTTTGTGCATATGGAGTTGGAACGTCTAAATGTATATAAAATATA